GCGGGCGAGGAGCCGCTTCTGCAGCGCCGGGCTCGTCTGGTCACACGTGCCCATGAGGTCCACAACCAGCACTTTCGGAGACCAGAACCCGAGGCCCCAGGCAGCGAGCCCCACGGTTGGGATTTCATGCGTGGACAGCACGGACTCTGACAAGTTCCGCTCGCCCGTGATCTGCTTGTTGACCAGTGCGATGACCGTTCCCTGTGCCTTGTCGCGCATCCCGAGCACGAAGCTCATGCTTGCGATTGACCACATGTTGGCTGCAAGCGCACTGGTCTGTGCATCCTCGTAGCAGGCATCGAGGTTCTCGCTCGCCTCGATGGCTTGGCCCAAGAAGCTGTCCGGGTGGACGGTCGCATGCTCTATGGCCTTGGCAAAGTTGGAAAGCTTCGTCAGGGTCGTGCGGTTCTCGGGGTCCCCATCCCAGAAGCCGGCCCAAAGCAGCGCATGATGACGAGTCTCCGTCAGCTTCGCCAGCCAGCTCCTCGCAAAGGATAGTGCTTGATATCGACGGAGCGTCTTGTCGTCCAAAGCCAAGGACGCAATAGCATCTCTGGAGACGCGGAGCGTCTCCACCAATTCGTTTCCTAACGTGAAGATGTCGCTGACGCTCTCCGCGCAGGTCTTGTTCGGAAGGACGTAGAGGTTGAGAGCCCAGTCGGCTTTCGGCTGCAAGTCTTCGCATGAAAGGGTGAGGTTGTTCACCAACCGCCCCAGCTGTTGATGGCAAGCGGATGCGCTGGCGCTCTGCCAGTCCTTCCTGATGATGGCAACCTGCTCCCGGAGCGTCCGCTCCTGTGCCTCCGCATCGCCGCGCGCCTCCGCTGATTTGGCCTGCGTGGTCACATCTGTACTGTCCGTCAGGATGGTTCTCAGGCTCTGCTGAAGTTTCTCGGCCGAGCTCGCGGGGTGCTCATGCCACCAGACCGGATGGTGCTCCGACCTGAACCCGACTGCGACGTGAAGAGCGGCTGCAAATGCCGCGAGCACGAGCGAGGTGAAGCGCACCATCGCGCACAAGGATCCGACATGGAACAGTTTATGGAACTTTGGATACACCAAGCAGCGAGTTGCTGGAGAGCAATACGAGCCGCAAAGCGGGACAGACAGCTAAAGCATTTGACGGCAATTAGGAGAATCACCCGATGACAGCGAACAGCTGTGGAAACAAAGGAACCTGTCTCGGGAGCCGAGGCCACCGGTGGCCTGTGCAACGTGCTCGCCAGGAAGCACGACGGCTTTTCATCTGTGTTTTGGGGGAAAGGGGTGGGGGGGGGGGGGGGGGTTGGTGCATGCTTACCGGATCATTGGGGCACGGCTCGGCCTTCCGGAGATCAGATCACATCCCAGGCGGGCCGCATGATGCCAAGGCCCCAAGCTCGCGTGGCATGCATGCCTCAGGGATCTCTCCAGTGTCAACACCGTCTTCATGCTTGCTTTCAAACTTCACCTTCACGTTCGCAATCATCGCCATCCTCCTTCTCCTCCTCCTCATCATCATCATCATTCCTCCTCCTTGTCATCATCATCATCATTCTTCCTCCTTGTCATCATCGTGATCATGGTCATCTAGCTCACCGACATCATCATCGTTGTCGTCCTGGGCAATGTCGCCGTCACCATCCTAATCACCATCCTAATCATCATCACCATCGTCATTATCATTGAATTATCATTACCACAGTTCCCAGCACTGTACTCATCACCATCATCTTCTTCTTATCACTATTCTTCATCACGTTTGGACCGAGTGACTACAGGGCGCTCAGCTCCAAAGAAACCCTCTGCTTAAAACGGCGGAGACCTGAGCCCGGAGGCAGCAAGAAGGCATCAACTAAGAGTATCAGCTTTTAAAATATTACAACAAGAACGAATTAATACGAAGGAGAAGAGTGCGGCATATGGATTGCGTGATGCCACAAGCCCAGGCTGCCTCTGGGCCTCTACGTCCGAGGCAGGATGCGAAAGTCTTGAGTAAAACCGCCTCAGTACTGACCCTTGGGGAAAGCTTTCATCTTGTGGAACCGCTTTGATTGTTGAGCCCGCTTCCCAAACCAAAGCCATCGTCGTTTTTCTGGACACGAAACTGAAGAACACTCATCGCAAGTCAATGCCAAGTGTGCACCTAGGCGCCTGGAGTCATGCGCAGAGCGCAAGGTGGAGCACCCACGCCCAGAACATTAGATTCTGGGGTGTATGCGAGCCTTGAGGCTATTGAGTGGTTGTAGAGCGGGTTTGATGCGAGTGTTTCGGGCTTAAGGTTTTCAGCACTTTGCGCTTCCGGGGTTCAGGGCCTAAGAAGGCTTTAGGAGCGGATGCTTTCATAGAGGCGCAGAAAGCTAGCAGGAAGTGTCCCAAACGCTAAAATCCAGCAACAGCGCTGCCTCTGTCTTGGAAGCCGACAGCAACAGGGAATTCAAGAAAGGCAGGCTCGCTGAACATGCAGGGGAGTGCGAGCCGAGGTCTATCCTTGCAGTCTGAACTTTCACTGGGCTTTTGGCCGCGAGGTATCTTCTCCGGATTCCTGCAATCTGCAGGTCTTCTTGCTGCTGCGCAGGGTCAAAGGCAGCTTTGCCGCAGGCACAGAGCGTGGGCCTTTTGGTTGGGCTCCGGGCCTTCAACAATGCACCTCCCAATTTCCTTGGTGCTGGTGGCCCGCGATGAGATTGGCTTCACTGCCCACATTTGGGAGTCTTCAAAGCAGCAGAGGACCCCGATCTGGATCCGCCTAGGACAGTAAGATCCGTACTTGTTGCAAGGGCTGGAAAAGGAAGCCCTGGTATGTCGGAAACCTCCAACGTGGGCTGCACATCAAGGAAAAATCCGTTTGGATCCTGAGGCCAACATGCCCCCCAAGACTTCGGCCACAACGGAAAGGCCACAGAGGACAATAAGTACTTGAAGCCTTGCCAGGGTCTTCAACATATGTATATATATATACACACACATACACATGTGTAAACGTGTATGTATATTATATATCCATACGTACATACATACATCCATCCATCCAAGCATATACATACTGAACCCTAAGCTCATCCTCCAAGCTTGCCAGACGTCGCCGCAGCTTCTGTTGGAGCTTCTGTTCCTGGCGATTGGACATGGGTTCAGGGTTTCATTCGGGTCTACATTGAAATTTAGGGTTCTTTTTAAGGCTCTCCCGCTTTACCTAAAGCCCTCTCGGTCGTACATTGCACCAAACCCCGAACCCAAGTGATGTGGGTGTGTTGGGCCCATGAACACGTTTGTGGAAGTCCTACCAGCTTCTCAACTACCCCCCCCCCCCCCCCCCCCCC